AAGTACACAAATTATATGGAGGGTGAGAGAGTGATACAGCTCTCAAAGAACAGAGAGGTAGTGMCAAGGGGGCTTAATGAAAGCCACAGTGCAGAGTTCTGCTTTTTAAGATGTAGGCAATGTGAGATGCAGAGACAATGAGAATAGAATAAGCCAACACACGGATGGAAGAAGGGTCCAAATCAAGAAATATGTGCAAAGGCTGTGAGCTAGGAGATGACCCTGTGTGTTCATTGAAAGAAAAAGAGCCCATAGGGAGGGAGGGCGTGAGAAAGAAGCAATCACGGAGGTCACAGTGACACAAATTGTAGAATCTTGGAGGTCACTGGCAAGACTCCACCTTTTYCTCTAAGGAAATGGAGAACAACTGTGAGATTATGAGTAAAATCATGTTTTCCTATTACCTATGAGTTAATACAGCATCTTTCCTGAATCATTTCCTGTTTAAAGGTAGAAACCCACTCTTGTTTTTTCAAATATCCAGAAATATTTTCTTAAATTTCCACTTTTTATATTGGCAGTGTATTCCTGAAAATTYTTTGACTAATTCTGGTAACTATAAGGGGCCAACTTAGTGGTTGCCCAACAAGATCACTGAGATGAGTGTCATCMTACCTAAGCAAATCTACATAGAAGACACCATGGAGATCTAAAGCCATAACTATTATTAGGAGAAACTGAAATATGTCAGTACACAGGTTTTTTTCCAGAAGCTACATGGTAACCTGAGATTACTAAACTTTAGCAATAATAATGACTTATTTATCTACATTTAAATTATCTCTTTATTGATAATTACACCAATAGAATTATTTTCACTTGGTAGTCAAAGTCAAGAAAATTAAAAACATACAAATTGAAATGTGATCCTTTTTTAAAAATTGATGTTTTAATCTCTGGTGCCTCTGGCTACTATTTCTTCTGCAAGGGGAGGAAGTCACAGCCCTATCTACACATCTTTAGGAAGGCATTGCTGGTATAGTGGTGTTTCAAGAGTTTCCTTGGATTGTACTCAAATAAGAAATACTGATTGCTGACTCCCATATGGAGTGTGCCCAATGTCCCCATACAACACCTGATTGGTGGTTGTCTCATATCTGAGAGGAGCTATCCATAGGCAGAACTGGACCAATCTAATCCTATCTCCCAGGAAATACAAGAAGGGACTCAAAATTTTCATCCCACACTGAATGTTAAAGTCACATGACACAGCAAATCCTTCGGTAGAAGTTTTATGAATCTCTACTCTCTGCTTGACTTGAGTCCTTCAACAGTCACTAAGATCATTGTCATCAATCTTTTATACCATGAAATAGTGTGAGTAAATTTCTGYTAATATTATGCAGAATATTTTTGTCTTTCCTCTGCAAAGATTTTGCAAGTAGAGTGAATGGAGAGCAATCAGTAGGTAATTTCTCTTTTCATTCTTTATTTTTTTTATTATTAGATTCTAAGGAAACATGCAATTCAACTATTTTTGACTTACATATAAGGAAGCATACAATTCAATTATTTTTAACTTACATGTGAAATATCAAGTTGCCAGCTCAGATCTGATACCTGATGTAAAAGTAAAGATCATTTTCTGACCCCTACATRAAGGTTTTTCTATAAATGTGTATTACCATATTTCTATACAAAGGAAATCCTATAAAGTTTCAATMAGAAAAACAAAATTTACTTATTAGGTCAGAAATTTAATTTTCCAAGTGTTTAATGTCTACCTTTCATCAAAAACAACTACCAGTCTCTTCCACACTTTCCTCATGGAATTTTTTACTTCCTTATTCCTGAAAGTGTRAATCAAAGGATTAAGCAAGGGAGTTAGGATGGTGTAAAATATGGCTACCATTTTGTCATAGGGGAAGGCAGATGGAGGCCGTGCATATATAAATATGCATGGGACAAAGAACAAAACCACAACAGTAAYGTGAGATCCACAGGTGGATAGAGCTTTCCTCCGCCCCTCAGCACTGTGTGTTCTCARGGAGAACAAGATGAYGCCATAGGATACAAGTAACAAGRAGAAGTTGATGATGCAGATWAACCCACTGTTGGCGATCACCAGAAGGCCTAGGACATGAGTGTYAGTGCAGGCYAGCTCCAGTAATGGGTACAGGTCACACATGAAATGATCAATGAYRTTAGGTCCACAGAARGGCARCTGGAAAGTAAAGAGAATCTGTATGATGGAATGCAAGAAGCCCCCTGTCCAGGCCATCCCCACCAGAATGCCACAGAGTCTCCAGTTCATGATGGAA